CCCCTGTATTTCGCATATCGTCTCTGCATATTTGTACCTGTATCATTTTTTAAACCTGTTTAACAATTATATATCGTCGCCCGATAATGTATACTAATGTATACGGGCTGCACCCTGCGTCCGTATTAATTGCCTAATCCCGAATTTTAGTTAAAACAAGCGTCCGTGTACGTTCCCCTGCCAATCATATTTTTTGAGCATATATATAGTATATCATCCCTGTATATCTGTGTATACAGGCTATATATAAGCCTGTTTTTCAACTTTCGGAAGTTGAAAACTCCTTTCCAGAAACGTAATTTTCCTGTCTCTCCAAAAACCATTCCTTTCTTCTTTTTTTTTCTTCTTTTTCTTCTCTTTTTTTTTCTCCCTCTTTTCTTCTTTTCTCTCAACCCACCCCCTAACAATAAAGAAAATGGGGATTATTTATAAGCCAAATTATAGCCAAAAGAGGGGGAAATTTGTTTAAAATTTGAATTTTGAATTTTGAATTTTAAAAGGGGTAAGGTTGGAGGGAAAGGGAAAAAGGGAATTGGGTTGGGAATTAATTAAAACGGAATGGGCTATGTAATTGGGCCTGGGTGTCTGAAAATAAAGTGGGCCTGGAAGGGAATGAGGTGGGCTGGAAATTTATTAGGCTTGGGGTTTGGGAGAAGTGTTGGGTTGCTGAAGTGGGCTGGGAGAAGAAGAAATACAAATGGGCCTGGAAATTAAAGGGAGTGTGTAAGTGGCCCAAAACTAAGATCTTTTGGTGGATTTAAAGAATGGGTTAAATTTGATAAATAGCCAAATTGAGTTAAGATAATAAATTCGGCTAAACCTTAAATAAAACGAATTTGTATTAATTAATCAACGAGCTTCTTTAATTTAGTAATATAATTATTTAAATTGTAAAATAGTGGTTCAAAATATAACCATAATTTAAACTATATTAGCTAAATAGAATACTTACTAAAATTAAAATATTTTTGAGTTGGTTTTTTGAATAATCATAAAATATACTAATTATATACATAATTATGTAAAATATATGTATTATTCAAAAGTTATAAGAAATGACAAAACTATTCAAAATGACACAAACTTTATTTTTTTTTCTTAAAAATTTATAAAACTAATTATTTTAAATTGCTTGGAAAATTTAAGAAGCTCATGAATTAATTTCTATCGGAGATGGTCAAAATTGGGTGTCAACAGCTGTCCCTCATTTTACTTGGATTGATGCCAGCAATTCGAGGAAAATAATATTGACCAAGCCAATTTTGACCAACCTCATTCATCTTTAAGGGAAGGATTTGGCAAAGGGTTGAGGAATTATGGCCGAACCCTTGAAACGGGTTTCCTACATATCTCAGGCTATATGAGAATTCAGGCCACTTGTAGTTTGATATGTTTGATTTAACGCACGATTTTTAAAAAATTCAAAAACCACCTCGATACCGAATTATGAAGGTATCGAAATGCTCGAGAATAAAATTGGAGAGCGAATGTTGGAATACAGCCGAGTATTCAACATTGAATTCGCCTACATATCCTTAAACCTTCAGGAATCAGGCTGTGTGTAGTTCGACTCGATCGGTTGAAAAGGAAATCTATTATGCTAGATAACCTTCGGTTTCAGACAAGTGACAAATTAAACGAGTATGAAAAAGAGGCTTGTAACCTCTTAGCCATGAATGTGGTTGAGAACCTTACACAGACATAATTTCCAAAGCTCTAGGCGTGTCGTCACTCAGATTGGAAACTTGCTTCCGATAAATCGAAACTTCCGGATGCGAGACTGAAACTGACAGAACTAAAGAAAAACCCGCATGCTTCGAGAGGGTGGTTCGATTGTGGTGGAAGTCGCTCCTCTGCTCGCGTACTAAGAGTTTGACACTCCTCTTTGGACTGTGTCCCAGTTCACTGCTAAGAAAAAGTTCCACGTTGCGCTGCATCCCTTTTGATGTCCGCACCTGTGGTTTTTGGAGAATTCATTCTTTTGGATGCTCTCGACAAAGACTGAGATAAAACTCGTCAGCTTAAAAAAATGCAATTAGGATGGGAGACAGTGTCTTTTTACCATGTCGACACTTCATTGTTCTCCTCAATATTCAACGTCGACTCGATCGGTCTGACGTCCAGCGAATAAGGCTGATGCCCTGTGTTTTGCGATATAATCTTCAATTTACTCTTCATTTGATGCCAAAATAAATAAATAGACGCTGATGCGATGTTGATGCTTCTTTTGTCGTCATCTTCGATGCTCTTCTTGATGTTTATTTTTCTTTTCTTTTCTTCTTTTTTTTTCAAAAATAAAGGATGCAGTTGAGGCCGATGGATAAATATTGCTCTTGGGATACACGATTTCCCTTTCTTTATCCATGTATGTCCTCTTGCGGGGCATGAATATCTTCCTGCGATACAAAAATTCCTGCGAGGTATGAAATCCTCTCACAATGCATAATTTTTCAGCGAGGCATGAAATTTTCTCGCGATGCATTAACTCCAGCGAGGTATAAAGCCTTCTCGTGATATATAAATTTGACGAGGCATGAAATCTTCTCGTCGTGCATAAATTCAAGCGAGGTATAAAGTCTTCTCGCGATGTATAAATTTGACGAGGCATGAAGTCTTCTCGTCGAGCAAAATTCCAGCGAGGTATAAAGTCCTCTCGCGATGTATAAATTTGACGAGGCATGAAATCTTCTCGTCGTGCATAAATTCAAGCGAGGTATAAAGTCTTCTCGCGATGTGCAAATTTGACGAGGCATGAAATCTTCTCGTCATGCATAAATTTAAGCTAGATATAAAGTCTTCTCGCGATGTATAAATTTGAGGAGGCATGAAATCTTCTCGTCGTGCATAAATTCAAGCGAGGTATAAAGTCTTCTCGCGATGTGCAAATTTTGACAAGGCATGACTTCTTCTCGTCGTGCATAATTGTTGATTCGCAATGCATGATTTTTGCAATGCATGACTTTTCCGCGATGCATGATTTTCGCAATGCATGACTTTTCCGCAATGCATGATTTTCGTGATGCATGATTTTCGCGATGCCTGTTTTTCCGCAATACATGATTCCCGCGATGCATGATTTCCCGCAATGCATGATTTTCGCGATGCATGATTTTTGCGCAATGCATGATTTCCGCAATGCATGATTTTCGCGATTCATGATTTTCGCAATGCATGATTTTTGCAATGCATGTTTTTACGCAATGCATGATTTCTGCGATGCATGATTTTCCGCAATGCATGATTTTCGCGATGCATGTTCTTCCGCAATGCATGAATTTTGTGATGCATGATTTTCCGCAATGCATGATTTTACGCGATGCATAATTTTCCGCAATGCATGATTTTTGCGATGCATGATTTCCGCAATGCATGATTTTCGCGATGCATGATTTTCGCGATGCATGATTTTTTGCAATGCATGGTTTTTGCGATGCATGATTTTCACAATGCATGATTTTCGCGATGCATGATTTTCGTGATGCGTGATTTTTTGCAATGCATGATTTTTAACGAGGCCTGGATGGCTCGATAATGTTCCAACTGTAACGATGTGGATGGCTCGATAATGTTCCAACTATAACGAGGTGGACGGCTCGATAATGTTCCAACTGTAACGAGGTGGACGGCTCGATAATGTTCCAACTGTAACGAGGTGGATGGCTCGATAATGTTCCAACTGTAACGAGGTGGACGGCTCGATAACGTTCCAACTGTAACGAGGTGGATGGCTCGATAATGTTCCACTGTAACGAGGTGGATGTCTCGATAATACTCCAACTGTAACGAGGTGGATGGCTCGATAATGTTCCAACTGTAACGAGGTGGATGGCTCGATAATGTTCCACTGTAACGAGGTGGATGTCTCGATAATGTTCCACTGTAACGAGGTGGATGTCTCGATAATGTTCCACTGTAACGAGGTGGATGTCTCGATAATGTTCCACTGTAACGAGGTGGATGTCTCGATAATGTTCCTGCAAGATAAAAAGAAACTTGTTTAGAAATCACTTGAGGCAATATAAAGAAATAGAGATAAAATAAGGTGGAAGATTTTCTAGGTTTTGTTGAGGAGTCCACGATGGGTGCAAGTGACGCCTTTTGTCATTCTTGACAGCTTTATATAGCCATTTTTGTGACTTCAATGTTCCTGCATCCAAAGAAAAATTCTTAGTTTGAAAGACTGATTTGTGTTGGTTTTGTCTCCATGCTCCTTCTTGCAGTTGACTTGCACGCTCGCCCGTCTTTATATGACATATTTGATGGTATTTTTTGAAGACCCTCCTCAAAAAATTTGTCCCGGTCTAAAATATATAAGAACTCTCATAACTTGCTCTGTTAACTCTGAGGTTGCTCATTCTGAAATATTGAGGCCCCTCCTCAACATTTTGTCCCAGTTTACCTCAATAAGTAACAAATGACATTTGTGGAATTTTTGAGATCATCTCAAAAATTTTGTCCCATTTGCAAGCTAGATTGTCGTAATTTTTGAGATCCACCTAAGGCTAATCTTCGTAGAATTTTGGTCTTCTGTTTTGACTTTGTTAAAGAAGTCCAACTTCCAATGAATTTTGAGATCCTCTCAAAATTCTGTCCCAGTTTCCATTATGAAGAGAAATGGAAATCTTGCTGGGTATTATGACCGAGCTGTTGTGGCGCCTACGTATCCCGTTGGAGCAGGAATCAGGTCAAACGTAGTTCCCCTCTCAAGGATTAACCAAAATAGGAAGTTTTGATAATGAAACGACCGAGGCCGACATAGGCCGCCTACATATCTCATTCTTGAGAATTCAGGTCGAACGTAGTTCCAACACAAGGAATAATCAAGGGGAATAAATGGGGTGACCGAAGCCGACATAGGCCGCCTACGTATCTCGTTCTCGAGAATTCAGGTCAGACGTAGTTCGTTACACAAAGGAATAATCAAGGGGAATAAATGGGTTGACCGAAGCCGACATAGGCCGCCTACGTATCTCGTTCTCAAGAATTCAGGTCAGACGTAGTTCGTTAGAAATGTGCGATACATTTTCAAAGGGAAGGTAACAAAACTTCATATGCAAAATTTGGCCAATGTTGGACATTCTTTTTCTCGACCTTTGATGATGAATATCTTCAAACGGCTCAATTCAGAAATGTCTTGTACTCACTCTTGAGTATCCAATATGTCGTCCATTCAGGTGGTTTCCTCAATATTGATCAAGTTGTTGTTGATCATGTTTTGTATCTTGTGCTTCAGAGTCGAACAATTCTCTGTGTCATGTCCAACGGCTCCTTGTATTCTTTGCATTTCGACCCTCATTTTGGCAATCTGTTGCATCAACTGCATAATTAGTTCATTTTTATCAGCGCAGCGGGTTGAGCCACGACAACATCATTCATGTCAATCTCATCATTGTTATCCCCCATCGATGTCTTTTCTTTTTGCAAATTTGATTGGGGAAGGAATCTTTGGAGCCTTTAACCTTGTGAAATACGGACGATCAACCAACTTATCAACACAAATCAGTTTTAAATACCTGAAAAATGAAAAAAACTCAAAAGACCAATATGTTAGTGCCTGGATGTGATAAATAATACAAGATATCACATAAAGGTGTAAACACATAAAAGTTGCTTTATTCGGAGATAAGCTGGCTCACGAATAGGGAGAGACCAATATATATAAAAAAATGTTTAAATAGACAGGAATTTGTCTACTTGACTCTGGGATTAGCGAATAAAAATGTCGACTTGAGTCGAAACAAAGTTGACGGTATCTTTCATTACCGTACTTTGATTTTGATTGAGATGTAACTCTAATTTCATTGTAAGAGTCGGAAAAGATAAAATTTCTCAAAATTATTTTGATTTGAAATGCTGAATCTTTTTCTGGTATGAGAGTAATACTAAAGAAAAATGAAGTTCGTTTTTTTTTTGGGGAAACTAAAGACTCGAAGAGTGTTTGGACGCACTTTTAATAGTGGTTTGATATTTGTGCTTACGGTTTCTAAAAGTATTTGAAGAAGAGTGAGCTAGAATATCTCCAGATAAAACAACATATTCACATAAGCAGTTGTAACACATATTGCGCGTTCTAAACAGATGTGTGACCCTTTTGTGCCAAGGGTGGGCCTAGCGATTTGAGGGATGTATACGTCATTTGAAACATTTCATTAATGATTCTCTCAAACAGCGTATACATCCTTCAAATTTAAACACATAAGTATGAACGCCCATTTAGGCCGTGGGCCGTTTCGGAACTCAAGGTGATCTTCTAATGGGCCCAACACGCCATGGGTATTGGGTCATCTTAGGCAAATGCGCTATTTTCGGGATTGAGTTTCGCTCTATCTTAGTTTGACTAAGAGTGAGTTGTATTTAAAGTGGAATGGGTAACCCAAGCGGACTACTTGGGCTGGGACAATTAACGATCATTAACTATCAAGTAGTCAACTACACTCGTCAGGGTGCCCCGAGAAAATCTTTGGTTAACGAACGACTGCGAACCCGCATAGTCGTCCTTTAGTGGAAATGAAATAATTGTCGTTTGACGGAAGTATGATATGTTATGCATGCAATAACAATATATGAAAGATTAAACAATTCCGCACAAACAATAAATAAAACAAATTAAGCAAGTAGTCAAACAATCAAATCTTGTGGTTAGAACTTTAACATCCCCAGCGGAGTCGCCATTTCTGTTTTACTTAAAAAATAAAAATACTACTGTTTATTGGTTTAAATGAGAAAAAATTGACTAGGTTTTGAAAAATCAATTAATCTTATTGTTTAAGAAAAACCGACCTTCAAAGTTGGAGTCGCCACTTGATTTTTGATAAAATCAAGAAAAACTTCAAAAGATTTAAAAACAGATTAAAAATCAATTGAAAAGGGTTCCAAGTTCAATGTACATCTCGAGAAGGTGTTAGGCCCTCGGGATGCCCGCTAACTTGCGGTTGACTGGCGATTTGACTAAATGACTTTTAAAATAAAATTTTTAACTAAGTAAAGAGAAAATTCATTTTGATATTTTTTATTTCATTCTTTTTACTTTTTTTTTTCCTAAAGGGAAATGTTTAGAGGGAATTAATTTAAGGAAAACTAAATAGTGATAAAAGTGAATAAAATAGTAAAATTTAAAATAATGAAAAATGGCTACTCTTTAGGAGATTATTAAAATTTTACCAAAACACTAATTAATTCAAACAAATAATAAATAAAGAGAAAAAAATATTTGAACTTGGGCTTGATTGCCCAAATCCATCCAATTGGGCTTTGGCCCACCTGTCCTAATCTATTTACTTAGATTTGGGCCCTTTTTTAAAAAAAAAACCTGCAAAAACAAATGGTCATTGGGCCTGTTGATAAAAGGGGACTGAAGGGCCTTAGCCCAATTCCCTGAAAAAGAAGACATAAAGTATACAAACGATGTATACTATTGTATACGGTGTATATCAGCATCCATTTTGGACCTTTTGAGGCCTGCATTTATTTATATACGCATTTTCAGCTATTTCCCCTGTATTTCGCATATCGTCTCTGCATATTTGTACCTGTATCATTTTTTAAACCTGTTTAACAATTATATATCGTCGCTCGATAATGTATACTAATGTATACGGGCTGTACCCTGCGTCCGTATTAATTGCCTAATCCCGAATTTTAGTTAAAACAAGCGTCCGTGTACGTTCCCTTGCCAATCATATTTTTTGAGAATATATATAGTATATCATCCCTGTATATCTGTGTATACAGTCTGTATATAAGACTGTTTGTCAACTTTCGGAAGTTGAAAACTCCTTTCCAGAAACGTAATTTTCCTTTCGTCAACTCAGATTTTGAGTTTGGGCCTCCTGTGGATTTTTGACCTGTATCACAATGTATATATTGTGTATAAACCAGATACACAGCTTCAAAACAAAAATCGCAGCCAAATGCCTGCAATCCGCTACTTCCAGCAGCTCTCCAATGGTTTTACTTTCGACCTATACCTCCTCTCAGGGGGTTGGATGACTCGGGAAAAGTGTTTTGAGGTTGGCTGACTCGGGAAAAGTGTTTTGAGCCTTTATGGCTCAACGAGGAATGCAAGAATGGAATCCAAAGTGGACTCGAATCGATGTCACACAAGAAAAAAAAACAAAAAAAAATAGTTAGCAAGGTGGAATGACAACATCTAAAAAAGAAGAAAGAAAAAAAAAATTCACCTTCTTCGGGGCAGCGAGCTAGAGACGAAACGAGCAAAGGGATGACCTTCCACTACACAACTTCGAATTCAAATGATAATCTGTTTTTAATTCAACTTCAATAGATATATAGGTGTGCTTAAACTATTGTAAAATCTTCCTATGAATAAACTCTTTCAATAATTCTTTTCTTTTCTATCACAAGATGTAAAAAAAAAATTCTCTCCAAAAACCATCCCTTTCTTCTTCTTCTTTTCTTCTTTTTCTTCTCTTTTTCTTTCTCCCTCTTTTCTTCTTTTCTCTCAACCCACCCCCTAACAATAAAGAAGATGGGGATTATTTATAAGCCAAATTATGGCCAAAAGAGGGGGAAATTTGTTTAAAATTTGAATTTTGAATTTTAAAAGGGGTAAGGTTGGAGGGAAAGGGAAAAAGGGAATTGGGTTGGGAATTAATTAAAACGAAATGGGCTATGTAATTGGGCCTGGGTGTCTGAAAATAAAGTGGGCCTGGAAGGGAATGAGGTGGGCTGGAAATTTATTAGGCTTGGGGTTTGGGAGAAGTGTTGGGTTGCTGAAGTGGGCTGGGAGAAGAAGAAATACAAATGGGCCTGGAAATTAAAGGGAGTGTGTAAGTGGCCCAAAACTAAGATCTTTTGGTGGATTTAAAGAATGGGTTATATTTGATAAATAGCCAAATTGAGTTAAGATAATAAATTCGGCTAAACCTTAAATAAAACGAATTTGTATTAATTAATCAACGAGCTTCTTTAATTTAGTAATATAATTATTTAAATTGTAAAATAGTGGTTCAAAATATAACCATAATTTAAACTATATTAGCTAAATAGAATACTTACTAAAATTAAAATATTTTTGAGTTGGTTTTTTGAATAATCATAAAATATACTAATTATATACATAATTATGTAAAATATATGTATTATTCAAAAGTTATAAGAAATGACAAAACTATTCAAAATGACACAAACTTTATTTTTTTTCTTAAAAATTTATAAAACTAATTATTTTAAATTGCTTGGAAAATTTAAGAAGCTCATGAATTAATTTCTATCGGAGATGGTCAAAATTGGGTGTCAACATTGGGGTATCGATATTATGTCTTGTCTATTAATTATGTTTCTCGATATACATGGGTATTCTTTTTTAAAAACAAAAGTGAAGTTCCTAAAATCATAAAATAATTTGTTACCTATGTTGAGACTCAGTTCAATAAACGAATCAAATTTTTTTGCTCTGATTCAGGTGGGGAATATATGAAGTAACAACTCATAGTTTTTTTCAAAGAGAGAGACATTACTCCACAACACTGTTGTCCATACACACCTGAGCAAAATGGAGTTGTAGAAAGGAAAAAATAGACATGTTTTGGAAATGACATTAGCTCTTCTTGATACATCAAATGTTAGTAAAATGTTTTGGGGACATCAAGTCATGACTGCTAGAAAAATGCAATAAAAGAGGAACTTTCAACTTTAGAAGAAAATCATACATGGGATTAGATATACAAACCGGCTAAAACCTCTGTTATTGGAAGCAAATGGATTTATTGTATGTAAATGAAGTCTTATGGGACATTGGAGAGGTAGACATATCGACTAGAAGCTCAAGGATATAAACAATAATATGGATTGGACTATGAGGAGACTTTTTCCCCTGTTGCAAACATGACGACAATTCATGTATTGCTTACTAAATCATCTATCAAACGGTGGAACTTCATCAAATGGATGTGAAAAATGCATTATTACATGGTGAACTACATGATGTTATATACATGAAGCCTCATTCATGATAAAACCCAGCTCAACCTGATATGGTTTGTCGTCTTCATAAATCTCTTTATGGTCTCAAGAAAGCACCACGTGCATGGTTTGAGAAGTCCGGTCTACCATTATAAATGTTGGATTTTCAAAATTTATTTTTGATTATTCATTATTCATTCGACATTCCAGTACTAGTATGGAAATTTTACTGTTATATGTGGATAATATGATTATAACCGGTAATGATGAGAATGAAATTGTACAACTCAAGAATCTTCTTAATGCAACTTTCAAAATGAAGGACCTTGGCAGGTTAACATAGTTTTTAGGGATGGAGGTTGAGTATTTGCAGGATGGTATCATGTTAAGACAATGGAAGTATGTAGAGGATCTCGTCACACAAGCATGTCTTAGTGATCAGAAGGTAGCTCACACACCTATGGAGATCAATATGAAGTACAAAAATGATGATAGTGACCCTCTTACAGAATCAGCATTGTATAGGAGGCTCATTGGTTATTTAATTTATTTGGCAATAACAAGAATTGACATCTCTTATTCAGTTCAAGTCTTGAGCCAATTTGTTACAAATCTTTGCCAACATCATTTTTATGCCCTTCCTCATAATCATTCGCTACATTTGGAGTACAATTAACCGAGGCCTTTTCTTTCATTCAGCATCATTTCTAAATCTCGAAAGATATACAGATGAAGATTGGGCAGGATGTCCAAACTCTCGAAAGTCTATGAAAGCGGGATGTTGAATGTTAATCGAATCATCACTTATCTCATGGAAGTACACGAATCAGCCAAGAATTTCAAAGTCATCAACGGAGGCAGTTATCCAAATTAATGCTTCTTAAAACAATTAACATCAATTTGAGAGGGGTCATTGATCATATCAGATATGATTTAACATGATTCCAAATCGTATCTGATATGTTTTCAAATCATATATGATATGATTCCAAATATTTGATATGATTCTAAATCATATCCGAATATCATATATGATTTTATATGATTTCAAATATTTGATATGATTCTAAATTATATCCGATATGATTTGATATAACATTGTGCTACAATTAGGCTTGTACCTTTATATATAAATAGTGCATAGTTTATAAATTATAAGAATAAGAAATACATAATAGTTTTCAAACTCTTTTTGGTTTGATTTCTCTATTGTTATCATTATTTTGCATTGAGAAAAGAATTTCTATTTTGAGAAGAGCATAATAGTTTTCAAAAACATTTTAGTCAGTAAAGTGAATCTCAATTACTCCTTAAATAGGGTCTTTCGAGTATACCCAATGAGTACTATTATATGAGTGTTATTGGATATATTTTGGGAGTGGTATTGAATATCGATTTGAGTAAGAGTTGAGATATCTCAAATCTCATAACCTACGCCGCCAACATCAATAGGATCGTATTGAAATTCGGATGAATTCTCACCTGCATCAAGAAGGTTTTTTAATGGAACCATAAATTGAGTTGTGTTTATACCTCGACAAAGTATAGGACAGTCTAAGCGAGACCTTTACTTAACACATTCCTTTTGACAAACTTCAAACATCCCCCTTAATAATTATTTCCCCTGTTGCCCTAATATTCTCGCCCCAACATTGTTTTTCCTTTGGCCAGCATTTAAAAGAACACAAAAAAAATTAGAGAGAGAAAATAGTCAATGTTAATTCATATCTAATAGAGCAACGCATATAAATAAGGAAACATGCACTACTAGTGAGAAACATTAAAAAAATGTAATTCATCGGTGACCCCTTAAAGTTGGCATCAATTTTTACTTAGACACCTTAACTAGATTTTGTTCATTTTACACACCTTCTGTCATTCCCTATTATGTCATTTTGGCATGTTTTACTGATGTGATAAAGTGAGTGTGCTACACTCATTTATGGCGCGTCTATGGCTTTATTTTAACCTATTTATTTCAATTTTTTTCACTTCTTCCTCATTTTCAGCTAGTACATCTTCTTACATTTCTCTCTCAAAAATTTTCAAAAAATAAATCAAAGGCTTCTTTCAAATCTTCTATTATATGTGTTGGAAAAACGTAATGTTAATATTATTGAACACTATACATACTTGACCTCACCAGTTGATGGCAAGAATGTAACCCTTTTTTCTTAAAAGAATGAAGAGTAAAATTAAGTTTTTAAAACGAGAAAAGACATAAAATGACATTTGAAGTTAGTTTGGATTTTCAAAATATCACTTAAATAATGCAAACGTCCCTATTACCCTCTTAAGCAATCCTGAACTGATATTATTACATCATTTTTTGTCCACTTGTCATATAGAGTGTGTGCACTCTCTTAAAGAGCGTGAACAAACTAAAAAACGAATATAATTTTATTTTTTTCAAGAATTTTGTTATAAAATATTTTTCTTGTTTTTCTTATTATTTCAAATTTTTCTCCTTATTAATTTTCTCTTTTTTCTTTTTTCCTTCTTCAAAAATTCATTGTCATTTTCATTGTAACTTCTCACTTTCAATATCATTTTTTATCACAACTCCACCTCTCTTTTTTACTATATTAGTTTAACTCTCTTCAACTTTAAAATTATATCTAAATATTTTATTACATTTCGAACAATTTGATAACCCACTAGATTTCAAGATGATTAGTAGTTATTATTTATCTTTTTTATCCAAATTTCACTAAAACTTTTTCAATTTTCGGAGAATTCTGATTCTTTCAAAATTATCATTTCTAATTTTGAAGTTATATGAAAATGAGATAAATTAATTGATGATACCTTTAAAATTTTAATTTTTCTTAGAAAAATAATTAGGTTTGTTATCAATAACACAAATTCTAGAAAATAGTATAATTTTGAAAAGGGGAAATTTAACCGAAGAAGAAGGAGAAAAAAATGGAGGGGCTCAACTTGACATAAGGGTGAGGTGAGATGGGGGTGGAAGGTGAAGAAGATGAAGAAGAAGAAAAAATGAAGGGGTAACTTGAAAGTAGGGGTGAAAGATGAAGAATTTAAAGTGAAATTAAAACTAAAGCAATAAAATAAAAGTAAGTCAAAAAGTAAGAGAGAGTAATAAAGAAAATCTTGAAATTAAAAAAAAAACTATATTTCAAATTCAATTAACACGTGTCACACAATTGGTGTGTGATAAACACTTGGTATTTAAAATCTTGTATTGATAAAAAATGATGTAATAATATATTATTGGAATTATTTAAGGGGTAATAGGACGCCCGCATAGTTAAGGTGTCTTTTTAAAAATCGGACAACTTCATATGTCAATTTATGCCTTTTCTCTTTTAAAAAAATCTATAATCATGATTTTTACATATTCACATCGCCATTATAACTTCTCAGATTTCATATTTCCAATTCTAAACACCAAATTAAATGAAGAAATTGCAAAAAAGGTATGATGAAGAAGACAATGAAATCAAATAGATATTACGAAAAAACCATGAAAATGGAGTAATATGACGGAGGAGATAATTACATGGGGGGGCGGGGGGGGGGGGGGGATCTTCAAATTAATTTGTTTTTAATTGGTCAAAGTAAAAGTAACCTTATTTTTAGCGTGAAATATTTTTATTATGTGGTGTGTCACACCAATAAACTGGCTTAATATGAAATAGATGGAGTAAATAATTTTTAAATAAATAAGCACACATTTCTTAGATCAAATATTTTCACCTTTATGTTACCCTTTCAAAAAATTAAATAAAATTAATTCACAAAGATAATAGATACTATTGTTTATTTTTAAAAAAAAAAAAAAATTCCTCTATTTCAGCGGCTAATATCGTTTCATGGCTCCTTGGCTTTACATTGGAAATTACCAATGCAATCATTAATTTCTCTCGTGGCTTCGCTGCAATTAGTGTGTCTTACTTTGTATTTAGATAAGCATTTCTCATCTTCTAAAACTCACAAAGTTATCTTTAAAAGATGGAAGGAATTTTATGGCATTGATAAAATAGAAAGAAAAAAAAAATTGTGTTTTAATTTATTTATTTAATTTTGATTTGATATGAAGTTTAAGAAAAAAAAACTATTGGCAAATGTTGTCAGAATTTAGCTAGAATGACATTTTACCTATATTATTTTGCTTTTATGAATATTTTTACATTTTTAACTTTAATACATTTAAACTAAAAATGAAAGAAGATTAATTTATTTTAAAATACAAAATATATTAATAAATTTTTCGATCAAATTCTGACCATATTTTCTAGTTAGCATTATTCAAAAGAAAATTTAGACTTTATAGTCTTAAATTAAAGTAAAATTAAATATATTAAAATATTTAATATGATCTTAAACATATCAGATAAAAAATTGAAATTAAATAACTTTGAAAAAGAAATATGCATTCTTTTCTAAATTTACTAGAAAAAAATAGAACAAATGAATTGAAATAGAGAAATTTTGTATAGTTTATAGTAGGTTGATGGTTAGCACTTAGCGTAACACTAATAAATATATGGTACATTTCATTGATTGGAAAACTAATTATTTAAAATAAAATAAGATAAAATCAAAGAGAATAGGATAAGTAAACGCGTCATTTCTTCTATAAAAGATAAAATCCAAAGAGAATAGGATAAGTAATTGCGTCATTTCTTCCATAAAAATATTATATCAGAGAATAATTATTAATAATAATCGTTTAGTAGGACGTATGGATGTATATGAATAGTGTGGAAAGTGATATACTAGCAATTTTTGTATAAATATGCTAAGATTATTTTTTATGTAATGTTTGGCTTGACGTATTAAAAATAACATGCATTGCATAGTTCAAAAATAAATTGTCTTGCATAAATATTCTCGAAATGATATGAAAAAGTTTTGAGATACAATTGTGTCTTTAATCATGACAATGCATTAAAATCCTTTTTGCATTATTAACCCCATGGTCCAATGAATAACTAATGTTCGCATAAGTTGTACATGGTTGAAAAAGTAAACCAAACAATATAATAACAATACACAACCCACCAATATGAGTTCTAATGTATTGGTGAGAATGTTTCACCCTTAATCAAAGGTTTCGTGTTCGAGCCCTAGGAATGTCACCCTCGAACGAGCCCCGCAGTGTGTGATCTGAATTTTGTCGAGGGCTCCAATGTGAGCTTTGGACAATGGATGAGAAACAAAAAAGAGTAAAATACAATACACAAGCCTAATGCTTGCATTCTTTTTTCTAATCCACTCTACCAAACGACTGTTCAAGCAAATGTTGAGAAAGAAATCCTATCTAGATTAGCAATTAAGCTGCTGATTTGTACCTGCAAATTACCTTACACCTATGTACTCTATCACGTACATAGAAACCAGGCACTACCATGATCTTAACCTTACTTGTACCTTGTGATTTTTGCCTATCTCCAAATATGTCCTCCATATAATTCTTATCAAAACTTGTATTCTCTTCAACCCTCAGAATCCCAAGTGGAGGATTGAACGAAAACGCGAGCAAATGCAGCAACCAAATGCACTTAGAAGCCACAAAGAATGCTTGTAGGAGTTGTTCTGGCCATGGCCTTCTCCAATTAAGTGATGTGATGATGCAACACATTTTCTGATCACAAAATTTACTGAAATCTTCACTATAGTATTTAGTCCCCTTTCGTAACACTTCATTCCAACTTAGGTTCCTCAACGAGACAAACGATGAGAATTGATCGTGGCAATCTTGTTGAGGGTCCAATTGTTTTGGAGCCCCATTCTTTTGGAACACAACATTCTCGAAATCTTGGAAGAGTGATTGGTTTATGATGGCTTCAACATGGTATAAGACCGCCTTTGAGTGTTTCGAGTTAAGAGAAAGCTTGTATGGTTGAAGTAGAAGGTTTAAGTTATCGGTTAAGGAATCAGCTGTCTCTTCAACTTGTGCAATAAGAGTTTTACAGAATTGCTTAACGGATAGTCTTGATTCCGATACTATCTGCAAGAATCCTTCAACCATTACCTCTTCACTAACAGGAATCGTGTTTTCTCCATCCCCATCCGTAGATTTCCCCCTTCTTGGAAGATCTATAAGCATGTTAGATACTTGAGATTCTTTTGTTTGAATTGCTTGTCTCAAGGCTTTCTTAAGCTCCTCGCAATAAGTTTCTAAGTACTCCATTTTTTGCTTCAACTCTCCTAAAGAAGACTTCATTTCCGCGACTTCCATCAAGGCTGCCTCTCTGCTTTCATTTGCTACCGCGAGTTCTTTCCTCAACATTTCAACAGAAACCACCCCGATATGATCCTTGCAAATCTGAGAGACCTCCTCAGCCTCTCTCCGATATGGTGAATTCTCATTCTTGTTTTTCTTCTTTAACTTAGGGAACAACCACGACAAGTTCATTCCTTTACTCTTTTGCTGCAATTGATTTAAAGAGTGTGAATTTGTCAATGGCACAATTACATTAGACGTTTTCCCACTTCTGCTAGCACCATCTGTCTCAGCACTTACTATAGCAGGTTTACATGATCTATTGTAAGACGAAAGCGATCTCAAGTCACCCAAAGAGCTTCTTCTAGAGTTAGAGTAATCACCACCAGGAGAGTTTCTAAGCAGAGTGATATGACCAGTATAAGAGCCGGTTACCGATCTCTGATCATCAGTTGGACAGTTATGACATTCCGATTTGATCATATTCGATGAAATTCCTTTCCTTAAGGAGGAATTAGCCTTTCTGTCATTCGATATACTGACTTCATCACAATTTTTTACTCCACCAAGACCATAATCATCCCAAAGATCAGCGTAGTCTCGATCATCGAGATGTAGTTGTTTAGATCCAGGTAATGGAGCATCTTCATAACTCTGCATACATTTCAAACTAGATCAGTATAACCTAAAATGTAAAAATTGAACAAAACGCATAACCATCCGAGGAGGTTTTAACCAAACTAAGCCATTATATAAAGTCATTCACCAAAATAATATGTTTTTTTTAAATTTTACAAAACTAGTATAAACGTATTCCACAATAACGTTTTAGGATATATTTTTTTTAAAAAAAGTTGATGGCGTCAAATTGATATATGTTACTCATAGTAGCGTTTTACTCCTAAAACGTTACTCACAGTAACGTTTTAGGAGTAAAACGTTACTGAAAATAACGTTTTAAAAGTAAAATGTTACTTACAGTAACGTATATCAACCTAATGCCGTTAGTTTTTTAAAAATAAAATATACCCTAAAACGTTACCGTGAAATACGTTTATACTAGTTTTGTAAAATTTTAGAAAAATGTATTACTTTGGTAAATTGTTTTATATAATGACTTAGTTTGGTTAAAAATTCCCATCTGAGAGTCACAAAAACATACTTTCATCGGTACTTTTTTCTTTTTTATTTGATTATATCACCTAGTGTTTAGTATACAAATTGGAGTCCCTATTAATTCGTATTCGCATCACATAAGATCAAAGGTATGAAGTAGTCAAATGGGTTCGACATCTACTATAGATACGTGTGAAATTAATTTTGTCATGTATAAAAATAATGTAATTTTCCGTCAAAGAAAATTTAAATGAACCCCCTGCATAAGACCTATTTACCGCTCCCTCCCTAACAGGATTTTTCTCACACCCAAACTCAACTTCAAATAGCATGGAGGGATCCGATCCATCCCACGACAAAAATAGTAACAAAAATATGAAAGGGCGATAATTGTTCAAAATCGTATAAGAAAAGAGTTCATATTCCCACGGTGTAAGCCAATACAAAGAGTAATATATTTCTTTAAAGATCTAACTCCATATCTCATAAATTATTGAAATATTCATAAAGAAATCAAGATATATCCGACTCTTCTTCAAAAATCACAAGCAAATACTTCAAAAAAAAATCCAAATCATTCTCCATTTTAGAAATACTCTACTATCAACACTCAAATTAACCCGCACTATAATTAATAAAATATTCTTATTTTATTTGTGATTAAAATTTATTTCCATACAAGCAACTGAACAAGGATACTGAAAAAAATGAATATTGGACCTAGTAGAATGTAAAAAAAAATATAAAAACTCAAATTCCCTCCTATAAAAAAAAAAAAAACCAATATTTTTATGAGAATAAAATATTAAAAATAACACTAAATTTTATAAAATTCAAGAATTGAACCAATAATACCAAAAATAGAGTGATTAAAAATAAGAAGAGAACTTACTGGTGTAAAAATAGGATAATCTTGAGCAGAAAAGAGATTAGCAGCAGGGGAAGAAGAAGAAGAAGAATGAGGGGGAAACTTGATAAAATTAGCAGGGCTATTATTATTATTAATACCCTGTAATAAAGAAGCATGAATAGCTCTAAGTTCTACAGCTTTAGCAATGGCAGCTTGAACTTCTTGTCTACTAATTACTCCATTATATTCATCATCATCATTTTCTTCAAAATTTGTACTTGCACCCGCCATAATTTAATGAAAGAAAAAATATATAATCACAAAAGCACATTCAACAAGTGGAATTGTTTATGTACATATTTTCTGAAGAGAAATAAATATAATATGCAACACAAGAATAGAGATAGGGACAATAGAGAAGAGAGAATGGTGGGGGTGGGGGTGTAGTGGAGTGGTGGGGTGGGGTGTCTTAAAAGTTTAATTTATTCACAGTGAGTGTTTCTATAAAAAGATGTTAAACCATCGCATCATCCAAAATATATTTATAGTTAATTCATAAAAAGAAGAAGTGAATATACAGTTTTCATTTTAATTTATTTGACTTATCTTATAGTCTATTTTTTTTTTAAATATCTCTTTATCATTTTAGCAATTATTTAATGTTAATTTTTCATCTAATATGTTTAAGATTACAAAGTTATTAGTACATTTGATATATTTTTATTTTAAAATCACATAATTCAAAAAAAAAGAAAATTAAAAAGAAAATTATATATCATGTTAAAATAAGTTAAATAAATTAAAACAAAGTGTTATTTTTAAAACCAGATAGAATTCCTATTACAACGACTAAAATAAATCTGATCTTAGGTAAATAAAACAACTTATACATTTAGGCTGGTTTGTTAGTTGTTAAAAGTTAATTACGTGATAAAAAGGATATTTATGTTTTATTTTATGTAGATATTATTAATTATACAATGATTATTTATTTATATATTAGTTATTATACTTTTTATTATATACATAAAATAGTATCTAGTGTATGTGTATTAGTTATGTGAGTTTTTAAATGATACAAATCAAATTATAACAATTTTATACCTAATTTACTATTCAAACGTAATACTTCCTCTATTTCAATTTATGTGACTTACTTTTTTTTTCTAGTCAGTCCCAAAAAGAATTACACATTTATATATTAAGTATTAATTTAACTATAAATATCTATTTTATCCTTAAAAGAAATGATGTAAAATCATATAATTTTTTATTTTTCATTTTGGATCATAAAATTTTTAAATTTTTTTTCTTAAACTACATATCGAATTAAACTATCTTATAAAATTAAATAAAAATTACTTATACATAATTTAGTACATACATAACTCATTTCTAAACTAAATGTCGAACCACTTTAATATTATTGTCAAGGGCAGGGCGGGAGTAAAATGGTTAATTTTTCTCTAAGCGGAATCAGAAGGATGTTCAATTACCCAATAGGGCATTATCTTAATTTTGTGTGGGTCATTTTAATATGCTCACTCCATAATAATTTTGTCCATAATAATTTTGTCCGATTTTTTATTGATACATATATTAAGAAAATAATTATTGATATAGTAAAGTTACTATTTTGTCTTTATTAATTATAAAGTGGATGAATTAAAAATTTAATATTTTCAAAAAGTTATTTATTTTTCAAAATAATTAATTGAGAATATAATAGATAAAAGAAATTGAATTTTCTTAATTTGTCAAAATAGACAAGCAATTAGAGACAACTATAAAAAAAATAGACAGGTAATTAGAGAAATAGAATATATGAGAGTCCATTGTGATAAGTTTCACATTTCTTTCGTTTCACAAAGAATTGTCCAGTTTGATTTGATACGAAGTTTAAGAAAATAAAAAAAAATTGATCATGTGATCTAAATTAAATTTATGTCAAATATATAAAATTGCCCTTTAATCTTGTGGTCTTAAATATATCACTTGAAAAATTATTTTTAAAAAATTATTCTTTTTGCAATACTGAAAAATAATAAAAATTATTCTTTCGAAACAAAAAAAAATACTTATTTGTGGTGCAAATTTCATGTAGAAACCTACAAAACAAGAAAGGAAAAAACAAGAATGAAAAGATAAGGAAATATTCCCCTCCCCACAAACATACTTTTCTTGAACTAATGAAATTGATGATAAATGATAATACTGAAGAACGATTGATGTTGACCTCAAAAAAATTGATGGGAGGCGGAGAAACTAATCAAAGCTTAGGGCATCTTTGATCCAAATATTAAATATTATATTAAATTTAGTGTTAGTATTATTTTAGTGTAAATCAACTTCAATTTATAATATCAATTTTTATACTAAGAAGGAATATTTTTTTTATTATTATTTTTTATTTATATTTATATATTTTTATTTCATAAACAATTTTTTTCTAAAATATTCATCATATATAATTTATATTATTTTGTTTCATAATTGTTCAATATAAATTTATTTTATACCATAATTTTATATTTCAATTTTGACGTATGTCAGTTACTATTGTATTGAATGTTTATTTTTTTTTCTGTTATTTTTATGTACATTATATTATTTGTTTATAATTTATAAGTTTTCATTTTTAATTTTGTGAAGGTTAATTGTAGTTATATCCAATTATAATTCATTGTAGAATCAACATAAATTAAATTTTTAAAAGAAGACATATATAGAATAATTAATATACAATAGATTTAATTAAAACATTATATTTTAATGTTTCACTAAAAGTTTTGTATAGTGATATAATATTAAAATATTCAATAAAGTGACTTAGTGTGATGAATAGTGTGTAACACTAATCACACACCAAAATGGTGTAAAATTTGGTGTTAGGGTTGTAGCTCCAACAGACCAAATAAGAAAGTGGTATAAAATTTGGTGTTGAGTTGGAGATGGTCTTATGAAAATTATTAGCCACTAAATAAATGAAAAATCACCTATATACACATCTTATATTATCATAATTTTTAAAATTTATTATAATTTAAAAATAATTCAAAAATCCCCTCTCGAATACATCATTCTCCTCTCGTGAATACATCTATACCCTTCTTAGATACATCCCTCCCCTCTTAGATACATATCTCACCTATGTATCCAAATAGTTGTTGATGTTGATGTATCTGAAAGTCTAGTGATGTACCCGAATATCCTATACCCTCTCTGATACATCTGTTCTCTCTAGAATATGTCCCTCACCTATATATCCAGATATTTCTTATTGTATCCGTACATGTATTCAAAATTCATAAGTTTTAAGGAATTTTTGTAATTTAAAAAAAATTAAAAATAATATAATTAGTTCTTAACATATTTAACTCTAAAATTTCAAAACTCAACTTAAAGTTGTATTTCAGAATTTCAAAAATAACAAAAAAGAAATAATTCCACTTTTTTCACTTCAAATTGCTCATAAAAAATCAAAATTAAAATCAAATCTAATTTATATTCATGATCATACACAATTTCATTTTATAATAAAACTCAACTAAATTTAGCTAAACCATGTACTCCGTTGGCTTAATGCGATTAAGGCCTCATTTCTTTTCATTAAGATTAAGAGGTCTAGATCTTAATACATATCAGAATATTAAAATTTGTATTAAGATTGAGGTGTTTTGATCTTAATACACATTTGGATATTAAGATGTGGTCTCTAAATCTGAACACTAAATTATTAATACTGTTTGTGTTCAATATTTGAATGTGCATGTGAAATTAACATTAAATTAATAAAATATCATAAAAATTTCATATCAATAAAATATATCATTTTTGAATTTTTTTTAAAGTTTTAATAATCATGATTTGGAAGTACAATTTTTTACATTCAAAAACCTTGATAAACGCCAATACACCAACTGTGTTCTTGACATAGTCAATACAAGAAAATTATTAATATAAAAAAAACTTGAAAGGATTTATGAAAACTTACCAGTTCAAGAGGGGAAAAATGGTGTTTGATTGAGAAAAAAGAGAAAGAAAGTTTTCAGTTATGAGATAAAAAGACACGCTGAAAGTAGAGAAGCGATGATTTATTATTTGATAACTTATTAAATGAGTCTGAATGTTGTTAATAGTCTCCTGCAGATCTGATTCATTCAGACCTCTTTAGACCCATGAAGAGGCTTTTTAAAAAAATAAAACAAATGAAATTAATGGGCTGAATTTGAATGATTCAGATTCAAACCTAAAAACAAACAAATTTAATAGGCTGAATCTGAATGATTTAGATTCAGATCTCCATTAAGTGCAAACAAATGAGACCTAAATCTGGTTTGGATCGACCCCAAAATCTACTCTCTTTTTTATTGCTTCGTTACTAAATTGGCTAAAAAAAATTTAACATCCTGAAATTAAAAAAAAACAATAAATAAATATTGTGAAAAACGAATCTAAAATAATCATATTAAATTTATCTAAATTCAATATTCTTAACATGAGATGTAGATTTACGTTAAAAGATACAAAAGTTGCAACAAATGATCGATATGAATTAATTAACTTTAACAATATAAATACTTCACTATTAAGAATCTTAAAAGGGTTTTTGATTTCTAAACCATTTGAATCACTTTGTTATTAAAGTAAAAGCCAAATGGAATTACAGGTTGGACCATGGAATATTTTATATTAAAGTTCTGAAGTTTCTAGTGGCAACTTTTTCCAATTGAATATTCATGCTTTTACTGAAATTATTTCTTTTAAACTGAGCACTTCACCCTAAAAGTTGTGAGCTTGTCATCCTCCACATGCTAAAATGTTTTTATCTCCCTTTTAGTCCTCCATCTTTTATAAATTTACAGTTGCTTTTAGCATCATTTTATTTGAATAAAGGGACAATTATATCATTAAACTGTTTTGTTATATTTTTGGGATATTGGAGCACTTGTCATCTATAAACTATAGAATATATGTCCTTCACTCTAACTGAAGATTAAATAGGGAGACTTGTCACAATTTTATTCGTCGATTTAATATTTAATAAATGTCGGATCGATGGATAAGGTTATGACACGTGTATATCAATCAGGATAAATGGTATAATACTCTAATTTTTAGACGATAAAAGCACAAATATCCCAAAAATATGATGGAGAATATCTGCATATTATTTATGATAATTTGGGGATATATTTGTTATATTTTCCTTTTTATTTTTGTATAAAAAAAGTTGGGGTAGGGAAAGAAAAACAAGGAAGAAATTAGAGGAAATGACATATATTTACAACTTATAGTTACAATTAAATAGCCCAACATTAATTAGCATTTAATAGATAAATAAAAAATAAGCGCAAAATGGCCCAAATTAATTAATGACATTTTTATAGTTTTTTTTTTCTCGTATAACCAAAATCACTCAAAAATAAAAATAACGGAAACATACAAAATT